CCATGTAGCGGTAGCCTTCGGAAAGGTGAAAAACATATATTTAATACTTGCGCCGGGTATTTAATGTTCGGCTCCGCCCGAACTTAGACTTTCTTACTTGTTTTTGTTATATTTAGCAAAAGAAAGTTTGTTTAACCGTACACGATGGAAGTATTAATAATTTATAGGCAAAGCAAATACGAAAATAAAATCAATTGGTACAGCATTAACTAATTCAACAATTATGGTATTTTTTCAAACAAATTAAACAGATTATTTTATTGAAGTTGCTCTGAATTGTAATAATATAAAAGTAACAAGCTTTTACATAGATACGATTGGGAAAAAATTAAACATTTTAAATAATTGTTTCTTTGTAATTTATATATTGTTTTCAATTAATACGTTATTATATAAACTGGTCCACCCTTTTTTGAAGTGCAGTGCATTATTTAATAGCCTTGTCTGATGGGGACTGAGTTCCAGAGACTAATAAAGTGTATGAAGAATTGATGTTCAGATATAGAAATACAATATTTAGTTACGAATACATATAATAGTTGCGTTCTTTATCTCCCAGAAATAGTCCGAAGTAGTCAGATTTAGTCCAAAAAGCTCTTAAACTTGAACTTCTAAAATCTTGAAAAATGTCAAACTCAACTGATACCTCGTTTATACCGACAATTTTGATGATTTTCGTTGTGACTCAGTTCAGTGTGATTCAAACCAGATGCATAAACAAAATTTCTATACACGATGAAATCGAAAAGTGTATTGACTCGAATTTGTTTTCTAATCGGTTTTTTATTTCTCATATCGGTTAGAAAACCTGTATAAACGAATAATTCATTTAACGTGAATTCAGGATTGGATATTTTTTTATTTCTAAAGCCCGTTTTCAATAGTATTTATTATTATAATAAATTTGTATTACCGTTCGCTTCTATTTCGGTCCACCGCGCAAATTTATTATTAAATAAATGTCGAAAAAAACTAACGGAGTTTGTTTACCTTTCAATACGGTTTATTCGAGGGCGATATAAAGACTGAGGAATAAACGCTAGAAATAAATATATGTTGAATCGAATCGGTTTTTTTTAAAGCGGTTTTTTCGTAGGTATAAACAAGGTATAAACAAGGTATGAATTTGAATTAACGGAACTTAAGAATACACTAAAAGTGAGAATAATCTAAAAACTAAAAAAGTGATTTAAAAATGGAAGGAGGCAAAATATAGGTAGTAGATAAGTGTTTTTTGTGCTTGTGCTTGCGTGAATGTGTTTTGTACATATATTTCTATTCTTATTTGACATTAGTTTTGTTGTTGCCATTCTTTGGACTAAACATTTGGAAATAAGGAATGGACCTAGTATATGTTTGTACATATCAGTGCTGGCAAAATGTTAATCTTATTAATGATTAAAAATTAACGATTAAAATGTTAATCGCGATTGACGATTAAAATTAATTAATCGCAATCAACTGAACGATTAATGATTAAATTTTTTTAATCGTTCATCGCTGGCTGCGATTACGATTAACTAATTTTAAATCATTAGTCGTTAATCCAATTAAAAAGAACATCTGATTAAGTTGTATAGTTTGTTCGAATTTGAAACCAAACACCAGTTATAGCAATTATTTTGTGTTCTATGCTTATAAAAAGCACATAATATAAAAAAATTATAATTATTGTTATTAGTAATACACAAACTGGGAACGTCGTAAAAGTGCAGAGGGATATTAAAAGCAAGTTTGTAAAACGTCTGTTGGAATAGATCTTAAAGAAAATGCACACCAAATTGCTTAGATTGATGAGGAAAACCGACTTAGCCATATACCCGATTAACTGGCCTTGTGTGCACAGGAAAATTCTGCAATAACACAAACGGCAATAACGGAAATTTATATTATTTCCCAATTAAAGGTAAATTAACATAAATTTTCTTTATTTCATTGAGCAATAAGACCAACGTTTACACTTTACAATTGAGTAATAAAGCAAAATAGTACACATGCATACATAGGTAGTCACCCAGTTACATTTGACAAAAATTAGTACACGAATAAGCTAAATGGACGGATTTGTAAGTATACAATTTTAAAAGTGCCCCGCGTCGCGGTGGTCCACCTTCGCGCGCCACCCTGCGTTCGACGTCTCGCTCGCGTCCCCCGCCCTTAGTTTACGACGACAAAAATTTGGCACATCATTAAGCGGAACCTGGAAGAACGTGAATATGTAATTCGGTCGCAGGGAATGTAAAACTTGAATTTCGGGGCGCAGAGGGTTGTGAAATTACCGGCATCTTGAAAAACAATGGTGGTGAAAATTTTTTAAAACTTAGAGAAGCAACCATTTTTAGGCCTTAATCAAACTACGTCTAATCGTTAGTATTCATACATGGTAGGAAAATTCCAAAGGGAAAATTTCCCTATCTCATCATTATATACTGGGAACTGTGAGAATTGGTGACTTACTCTGAAATAGAGATGGGCACGGGACTAACTATTTAACCCAGATCCTGGCCGGTCCCGTGGTTCCCGAAATCTATCACTAAGAAACATTCACATGTCTTTTAAATTAATATTAAATAATAAAATTATTAATATCAATCCCATTATTTTGTTTTGCTTTGCTGTTCATTTTCATCTGAGTAAAACATAAAGAAGTGCATATTTCATACATCGATTTTAAGGAAGATTACCTGAATTTACAGAGATTGCGGTCCCTCCCGACAGAAAAATTTTTACAGACCTTCCCGATACCGTTCATCCCGGCCAATTTGAAATCAGTATCGTGGGTCCCGCTGTCCCCGATATCCCGCGCCCATCTCTACTCTGAAATTAGGTGCAATAAGGTCCTCAGCATCGGAGCGTTTTAATTTTTTCGCTACTTGATAAATACTCGTCAGGTGAATTTTCGGCTATCACTTTAGTTTCTGCAAATTCGGCAGTCGGAGGGGCAGAATTTTTCGGTTTAAAATAGTTCGTTATTTTTACAGAATATATTCGCCACGTAGCACTTTTTATTTTGGTGATTCACGCATATTGAAAATACACTTTTTCTACCAAATAGGTAAATGATACTGATTTGATTTGACTTTTAACTTATTGAAAGCTTCAAAAGCCTTCAAATTCAAATCAAAGAAATGCGAGTGTATATATCGCACACAATCTTAAAAGTGACACAACTCAAAATTTCGCATTTTTGAAATTATTGACTAAAAATGTACAGAGAGCTTTTATTTACCTTTCAGGAAAAGCTGGAGCAAATTTTTGTTATAATTTGTTGAAAAAACCTTAGGCAAAGCCTTCCTTGCCCATATAATTAGCACGTGCTATGAAATATTTAGTTATATTTAGATTGGCCTCGCTATATTTTTAATACAAATTTATTTTGTCGAAAATAAAAATTATACCGCAGATTAAAGGAGTACAGCTAAAAATCATCTAAAGTCATGTTCTTTTATCTAAAATAAAATAAACTACTTTTTGCACTTTTCGAAATAATGCGTTTTTTTCCAAATGCATCAAATAATTTTTGAATACCTGTTAATGCCATCAGATCTGCATTAAAACCCTGACCTGACGGAAACGGTATTATGTACATATAGCGTAGGGGTGCAATAACACAAACGCAAAATTTGCTTTATTTCACTTTTAAATGAGAATAGGTTGGAAATAAAACATATTTTGCCTTATTTTCCATTGATTATTTATACTATTTTAATACACACAGTTTAGATGTTTCATCGTTTTTCTTGCAAACATCGATGTTGCCAAACATCCAGTTCTAGTATCACTTACCAGGCATACTCCTTTCCATGAAAATTGTACAAGAGACCGATTCCTTTATTAAGATAGAGTTAGAGATTAAAGCGTCAGTACATTACTGTGCATCTGAAAACAAAAAAATACTTATACATAATATATTAAGTATATTGTAAATATATACTTATGTAAGTATCTTAGATCATACATCTATATGTATTAGGAATGTTAATCCCGGGATCCCGGGATTTTTAGGTCCCGAAAATCCCGGGATGCTTGGCAAATAATCTCGGGATTTTCGGGATTTGAAATTTGCACTGATGGCAATAATAGAAACTCCTTTTCTTGCCCAGTATTGGCTATATTTCATTTTTATTTAATAATTAATATTTCTTTTATAAATGTCTAGATAATTATACATATAACACCGTGCGATAGTAAATTTTACAAACAAAAGTCAATATACTCGCGAAACTATTTGCCACATATAGTAAAAGTGCGTTTTTAGTATTTCACTCTGACGTCAGAAATTCCAAAATTATTTAAAAAATTCAGTAAAATGTGCTTAGAGAAGAAGTATGGGTACCAAATTAAAGAGGAAATCCTGTAGTATTTAAACAAATTTAATTTTTTGGAGCATAAGGACTGGTAAGTATTGAAAATGTCTTTTCAAAATTTTATCCTTGAAATTTCGCAATTTTTGCTTTTGATAAAATTATATGTTAAGGACTCGATAACATCCTCGAATTTCGTCCTCCTAACTTTAGCAGATTAAAAAATTACCTACGCGTCCTTGTGAATCCAAAAAATTTTTATTTTTTTTTTTAATTCAAAAGAAATTGATTTTTTAAATAACTTTTGGGATTCATCATGTCTTTGAAATTACAAAGTCCTCTAAAATAAATACTGACGTCAGAGAGAAAATATGAAAACGCCACTTTAAATAAAAAAGTAGGTTTCAAACCAATTTATTTATTATTTATTTTATGGTAGGAGAGCTTCTCAAAAAAATAGGGGGAATGATCCCGGGATTGTGATAACGACATCCTGAAAATCTCGGGATCGTTAAAAGCGAAAAAATTAACATCCCTAATATGTATACTTAGTTAAGTTAGTTACTTAATAAATAGTATAGTATAGTGTTTATCTAATATTGCTTGCTTGAAAAGCATTTGGAAATGCGCAATTAGACTAATACCAAGAGAATATTTTTACAGTAGTGTTATTTACTCTTTTCCATATAAAAAATTACTTTGTATGGAAGAAAATGCGTGATACCGTCAGCAAAAAAAAATATTTCAAAAATCAAAGCGATTTTTTAGAAACTGCAAACTTGCACTTTATTGCACTAGAATTTAATAAGCTATAAAACTGCATACCAAAAATTATTGTAGAAATTAAAATTAAAATGCTTGGAATTGGGATGAAAAGTTTGTGGAATTTTTATAATATTTGTACAAAGTCTGAAATTTAGATTTATATTGTATTTGTTAGATAAAGAGCTATACTTTTATATTAAAATAATGAACCTTAAAAAAAGCAAATGAAAAATAGCCAAAACTATGTATGTGTAGGTATTTTGTACACAGTTTACAACAATTAAATACTGGAGAAAATAATTAGGGAGTTCACAAGGTTTTGTATACTGTCGTATTGTTGTATGTCGTAAAGTTTAAACGGCTAAAACTATATTTAAGGGATTCGGCAGCTGCCATAAATGTCGTATTATGAAATCTCACGCCATTAAAAATTAGTTGGCTGAGGTTTGAAGTCCTCTAAACATTTATTTATCCGTTAAAAACTTTACGCCATACAACAATACAAACTCCCTAAATATTACACATACATATGTATGTATATATATATTTATGTGTTATTTATATTCATATTTTTGTTTGTGAGTAGGTGTTCTCAGTGTCTTCTAAGATTTTATTCTTGGGCAATTTCATATAGGAGTTGCTGCCCTGTCTACAGAGCTTAATATATTTAAGCAAGTCTTCTGTTCAATTCGAAGGATAACCTCGATCGGCTTCTTATTGGAACTTACCACTGATCAATATTGGAAACACCATTAATATGCAAACATACACGTCAATCCATTTCACAAAATAAATGCATATACATATCTAAGTGCCTAATCAATTGTTGAGTAAATACATATATTCTAACCACTATTCAATACTGGAATTGCCGATTTGTGATATTCAGCTGTAACTTAAGAAAAAAATACCAAACTTCTACACTGTGAAGAGTTTTCTAAAACTATTTGAAAATGTGGTTGACACTGAATTGCACCGCTTTCAGCTCAAGTGACTGAGCTACTGGTAAAATCTCTGGCAAAAGTAAGCAATTATATCAGTTAGTTGAAAGAAACTTTTTTCAGAAACAAGTTAAGACTGAATGAGTCATACGAATCCTGGGTTTTTCCAATTTTAATGATCGGCAACAATAATTATCAGCGATTCTCTGAAATTGATGCTTAGAATGCGCACAAAGCTCAAACAGCGTCTGGGCTTAGAAATCAACTTGCATTGCCTTAAATACCTGTAGGTTGGTTGTATTATCTACATACAGCAAATGGAACTCACTAAATAGATCGTCACAACAGCCGGTGCTGCTTCAGTGTAATTGCCACCAGATAATAATTTTGTTCATTAAAAATGCAATATTTTTCTCGTGAATGAAGCAAATCCTGGGTTTTCCCCACTTACATAACGTCTCGTCGCCCACTTTACATGCTGTTTGTATGATTTTTTTTTATATTTTATTTTTGTTCGAATTAAAAAAAAAAATCAAGTCGATTGACGAGAAACAATTTTGCGATTTCAATTAAACTTTGCTCGCATGTACGTGTGTATGTACTATGTATACATGTATGTACTATGTATACTGAATGGTGCATGATGCCAATAAGTATGTGATTGTATATTCATACGTAATTAATACTCGCAGGTAAATAAATATCAAACATGAAATATTACAATATCCCAGTTGTGTTTAATTTACTTTCATTATCATACATATGTATGTATATACATCAGTGTTGCCGTTGTAGCCCTTTGGTGGCTAGATTTAGCTACCAAATACTTTTTTTGACAACATAAATTTAAAATTGCCCCTAGCCCTTTTGTAGCTCTTTTGAAAAATTTATTCATACTTGACATGAAAAAGTGGTATATGCTTAATTTGATCTGATTTTTATACCTTTCATGAGCATGAAATGGTATTATAACTTTGGTCCGATGTTTGTAAGTACCAGAACAAAAAGAGATAGACCCATGAAAATGTATACTTACATGATCAGAACGTCGAGCTGAGTTGATTTAGCCATGTCCGTCTGTCCGTCTGTCTGTCTGTTTGTATGCAATCTAGTCTCTCAGTTTTCGAGATATCCGGATCAAATTTGGTAGGTGGGTGTATTTTTATAATGTATTAATCATTTGTCGGAACCGGAAGAATCGGACCACTATAACATATAGCTCCCATACAACTGATTGTTCAGATATGAGATTTTTCATTATAACTTCTCCATTTATGCAGCTACGAACATGAAATTTTGCAATACTTGCACCCATTATCAACAGAATACTTACAGTGAAAATTACAAAGATCGGGTCACTATAACCTATAGCTCCCATACAACTGATTGTTCAGATATAAAATTTTGCGTTATAACTCCTCCATTTATATAGCTAGGAACATGAAATTCCGCACTGTTTTCAATAATTATCAACCGAAAACTTACAGTGAAAATTAAAAAGATCGGGTAACTATAACCTATAGCTCCCATACAACTGATTGTTCAGATATGAGATTTTTCGTTATAATTCATCCATTTCTGCAGCTAGGAACATGAAATTTCGCACCATTTTCACTCATTATTAACAGAATACTTACAGCGGAAATAACAAGGATCGGATGACTACAACATATATCTTCCATACATCTGATTGTTCAGATATGGGATTTTACTGTAAAACTCCTTTATTTGAACAGCTAAACCGATAAATTTCGTAAGATATTTTATAAATAATAATACAAAGTCTACTGAGAAAATCGTCAAAATCTATGCTTTATAAGCTTTATCTCCTATAGCACTGATTGTTAAGATACCAGTTTTTGCCATATATCTCCTTTATGTACGAAACTAAACCCAATAAATTGTGTTACCGGTTTACATACCGATGTCATAAAAAGTATATCCTCCATACCTCTGATTGTTTAGATGCGATTTTTTATATAAGTATGTAACTCCTCTATCGATATATGCAGATGTATTCAAAAGCAGTAATCTGTCAAAGTAAAATTTGCAGATGTTCATGAAAGGTATGAAGCCTTCGGCATAGCCGAAGACAGCGCTGCTCTTACTTGTTTTCATTTAAATATGTATGAGATGAATTTTTAAGCTAAGAAAAACTCTGATATATGTGTGCATATGTATTGTATGTTCCTTACGTTTTTATATAAACTATAAAAGTGTTATGGCCGTTAACTTACACTGGTCTACAAGGGTTTTGCGAATAAGACGGGACCTGGTGTTTCCGAACGGATTTTTCGTGCTGAACACGAATCTGGGGTCCAAAACTTCCCATCACGTCACGTTTTCGAGAAAAAAGGGGTTGAAACCCCTAAAAACAGCGTTTTTGGACATTTTCGAAAAATTGTAGAGCTGAACCCTGACGTGCTACAAACTTTGTATATGTCAGAAATTAAAGGCTAAATCGTGCCCTTTCGAATGAGCCCTATGCCGAATTAATCGCATGCACCCTTAGATCAGGGGGTGTATTTGTGTCTAGGAGTCCAGGGAAAATTGATCGCAGAAAGAATTTCATCTTAAATTGTACCACGTCAGGGTTCAGCTCTATAATTTTTCGAAAATGGCCAAAAACGCTGTTTTTAGGGGTTTCAACCCCTTTTTTCTCGAAAACGTGACGTGATGGGACATTTTTGACCCCGGATTCGTGTTCAGCACGAAAAATCCGTTCAGAAACACCAGGTCCCGTCTTATTCGCAGAAAAAAAGTTGAAATTTGTAGACCAGTGTTATCTATTAACGATTTAACTATACATTAAAATAGATAAGTTTACAGTCTCAAATATGCTTAACGTGTTAAAGGGCCCATGGATGAT